GATGTCTCTACAGTTTTGCCCAAATGACTGCAAAACCTGGAAAAGCTGTTGCTGCTATTGATGCATAACATAGTGCCATTATTGGTCTTTTTATATAAATATATATATATATATATATATACATATATAATTTGAATTTTTGGAAAATTTAGTTGTGCTGTCAACTTTGGAAAAAAGTATCCCAGTTTACCATGTTGAGTTGGCATTGTACAAATATTAACAGCCATATTGGTGTAGAAATGTTGAACTCAATTTCTTTCTATTTGTACAGACGTACCGCACTGTATTAAATATGTAAGGTCTTAAAAAAAAAAAAGAAGGGATTTTGAGAGCCCATCCCTTGTGAAGGGATACTCTCTTGACCTGGACACATGGGGTAGGGTCTAGGCCTGCCCAGGATGATGTGATAGACTTTGGGGTGCCCCTTTTGAGGGCCTTACCCTGCCTGGGGAGTGGAGGGAGGATGACTAAGGGCAGGTGGGATGTTGGGGGGGAGGTGTGAGAGAGGCAGAAGGGATTGACATCTGAAGCAAGCTTGTTCCTAATTTGAACTAATAAAATAAAATAATATTAAAAAATAAAAATAAAAAGGGCAACACAATTAATGTATCAACTTTAAGATCTATTAAATGTGAATCAATGATTTGATCCATATGATCTAGTCCAGTGGCGCATGTGATGCCTGAAGAAACTCAGTTTTATTCCAGGTGTCCATCTTGGTACTCACTAGCCATTTTGTACTGGCTCCAGTTTTGAAGATAGGTTCCCAATAATCCTGACTCAGTGACACCAACTAAAATTGACCATCTAATGACCACATGAAATCTGGCTACAACTGGCTGTCTCTCCAGAAGAGCTAGAAGCACAGGTTTCATGGGGGAACAGAGGGCTTGGTCTCCTAGTCAGAGCAATTCGAGGGTCCTTCCCTCTGGGTAAAGGACCACAGGAAGCAGCATGCATCTGGACAGATAATCAATTTTCTCAAGTGGCATAGTTATTAGGACAAACATGAAGGATGTGACAAAAGAAAGTTGATAATTTCTCTTCAGAGCTAGATACAGTTTCTAGATAACTGTATCTCCCTAGATAGAGTTTCACATACAGATGTAGGGAAAAAGAGGCTTCCTTTATGGGTTCCCTTTCCCCTACCTCACAGGCTGGATTTTTCAGAATGCAATCTGTCAGATCCTCAGTGGTCAGTGAGAAGAATCCAGGTTGTCTGTCATCATTGTGGTGACAAGGCTGCCCTTGCATCCCAACAAGTCAATCCTGGTGGTCCTTTTGCCATACATGCAGCCTTGGCATTTGGAATAGAAACCACTGTAGGACTCTAGTTTGGAATCCCTGGCTTGTATTCCATTAAGAAGTCATTGCAGTGCACAGAACTCTTAGCTGCTGATGAGGTAGTGGCCCTGGAAAATAAGATGGTGTTAACCAACCTGCAACTGAAGCACCAGAACTCAGTTTCAGAACCCAAAGCACTAGAAGCACAAACCTAGGACAGAGGAAAAGGATATATTCCAAGTGGATTTGATTTCTCTTCCCTTTTGGGAGGAGGGTGTGACCACTGTGGGCTCTGGAGCAGAGATATAATGGTGCTGAGATGGCAGCAAAGTAATGCCCACGCAACTCAACAATTCACCATCACAGTTCAAAATCTAAAGCCAAAGCAACACTGAGCCACCATTGCCATGCTGAGGATGGCCCACTCTGAGCTGTTACCTGAACCACCCATAGCGCTATGCACTCAAAGGGCATGGCAGTGAGGACATTCCTCCTGCTGTGCTTCCCTTGCTTTGCTGAAACAGCCTCAAGTACCTTGGCCTTTAGGGGAAAGGAAAACTGCCAGAAAAATGACTCTTGTGCTGAAGCTTAGTTATCAGTAGCAGTAACTGTTGTCTGGATTGCACAGATAAATAGTGTTTAGTGTCTGGAGCCCTGGATGTGCTTTCCCGAGTCTTTCATTTTGTGGAAACCCAGGCAGTGCCTGAACAGCATCCAGGGGACCAGATGGCAAGACTGGGATCAGGCACTGAGTCGACACCAGTGCCCTGGCAAATCTGGAATGGAGAGGAGAATCTATAGGTGTAAACGGAGGTTTCTATTTCCCGCCACTTCCAGCAGCCACTTTTAAATAATATTCGGAGGCATGATATGAACTACAAAATATTCGGCCTGTATCAAAGGCTTATTGCTAAGTAGCTCTTACATTGAAATCAACCCACTTCTATTTATGTCTTGCCAAGTGGCCATGACTTTAGTGGTCCTCAGGCATCTTGATTCTTGGGCAACTGGCTCATGTCTCTCTCCACTCTGCCCTTCTTTTTCCCCCTGTATCTGCATTTGGCTTTCCCGCCTAGCTTTATTCTGCCTGGCTATAGGCCAATTTAGCTTTTCTTGTCAACCGATGAGAACAATATGTACTCACAGCATACAGAAGGATCATCCTACTGCAGATGAAGGAGCCCAACAATGTCGGATACTTCCACAGCACAAGAGCCCTCTGGAGAGGTTCCCCCAGGCAAGGAAGGATGGATCTCACCCAACCATTCCTTATCTTAAAAGTCCTAAATCTAGCAATGATTCCTTGAGGTTGCTTGAGAAGAGTTATATGGTAGATATTTTGTAGCAGCATTTTGCCATTTCTTTTGCAAAGTTTCTAGTGTCTGTTTTCCTTATGAGTCCAGTAATTACACTGCCCCGCTCCAAGTGCTGAGAGGAATGGCCTGTACCTCAGGATTCAGGGTATAGTGGTGGTTCATCCCACCAGGAGAGAGTAAGACATAGCCACACTTTTGAACCAAGTTTGAAATAAGCTTTACTTGAATACTGGCCAGGATGATGAACCCTGGCCATGTCCATTCAAGGGTTCCCAGAAAAAGGCTACAAGTTACATTTTGATTAGTGTAATATGACAAACACATAAGGCTATGTACATCACACCTTGTCTAATCGGGATCAGTCATACTTGCTGACATACTTCCTACCTACACACCTGCCATGTACCTGTGGTCAAGTATATATCCTGTGCAGTTGAGTCAAATAACCTTGTTTAGGGGATTGGAAACATAAGGCTTGCTATCTTATACGAACAACAGCCTCCAGCATCTCAGAAATTACCTGTCCTTGGACAAGGGCTTTCATGTTAGAGGTGTTTCTTTTGCTTGTTTTGTTTTAGGGACTCTTAGGCAGAGGGACTAAAACTTATAGCTTTGGCTCTCACAGTAGTTAGTGTTCACCCCTAGCGGACAGGCAGCTAATTTCAGGTGTGCTTATACAGGGCTAAAGGATACTTGGCAGTGACCCTCACCTCCTGCTCAGAAACTTCCTGGTGACCTCTGTTGGGAGTGCAGACCCAGGGGAAAGGAGTCTCCTGCTTCCAGATACCAGAATAATGTGAGGTGACGACAGCAGCTCAGTTTCCACACCCTTCAGCGCCCACGTGACTGAGGGCATGAAAATGCTGCTGCTGTCCATGAAAGGGCAAGGAGGACCCAATGGTGTAGAAGCCAAGGCCCTGAGAACACAGCCCAAGGTTAGAAAGCTTAGCACACAGACTCCGGGATCAAATTTAAGATGTTTATTTACCAACTCGAGATCTATTTTTATTTAGTAAAAACAAAACTTGGTTCATTTCGGAAAAACTTTCTGAATTTTTGGTCTTCCCTGGACTGTGACTTTATGAAGTTGTTTGGCTTTTGAACAGCCCACAGAACATACAAGAGTTTTCTCCTTCTTGTTCTTCTTCTTCTTCTTCCTCCTCCTCCTCCTCTTGGTCCTCCCACTCATCATCTTCTCCCTCTTCCTCCTCCTCCTCCCCTTCCTCTGCAGTGGACTGACTTAGGGATATGGCAGAGAGGGCAGCTTTCAGGATGGAATAGCAGGTGTCATACATTGACATCATATAGCCATACCTGAGGTACCGTGAGGAGCTACTGGGCACATGCCCCGTAGCTAAAGGAGGGACTGTAGCATTATCCGATGTGCCCTCTCCACATGGGACACTTGTCTGCTGAGGTGGACAGTTGTCTGGGACACTTTCAGGGATGTTGCTCTGATTGTATGTACTAGAAAGCCGGGTGGAAAGGTTGCCTGCTGGTGTCTGGTTGTTGGGCCCCCGCTGCTGGGACTTCATGCCATCGTGCTCTCTCTTTTGGAACCATTGGTAAAGTCCGGGAGGTAAAAGCTTCACCTTCTTTGGATCCTGCCCTTGTTCAACCGCACTTGGGACTGGAGATGTTGCCTTGCTCACCCATTTCTTCCTCCTTTTCAGCTTCAGGAGCTCTGGTTTGTCTCTC